TTTAACCGGGATAATGAAATGGCTCTTTGTATAATTGGACTGACATTGAGTGACCAGCAGCTAGTCCATATTCATGGTGAGGATTCTGCTGCCAGGTGTTGGGACACTTTGAAGAGGATTTATGTTCGTGATAGTGTGGGTGCACAGATACACCTTACACGTAAACTGTTTAGAGCCCGTCTTCTGAAAGGTGGAGATATGTTAGCTCATCTGGAGTTTATGAAGGGAACTTTACAAGAGCTACGTGAAAAGGAGCTGATTTTCTCATAGCCGCATCAGGTTTATATTATTCTTTCTTCTTTGGATGGAAGTTATGATGATTATGTGTCTTCACTGGAAGTCCTGACCAGAGATGGACTGACATTGACTGGCATAACCAGAAGATTGTTAGAAGAGTCCAGAAGAAGGCAAGATAAAGACCAACTGAGAGAGAGACAACCACAGAAAGAAAACCTGTCTTCAACTGCCTATACTATTAGGAAATGTTTTTCTTGTAGGGCTAAGGATCATATAGCTAGATTCTGTAAAAAGGACAAGAAACTGAATACTGGTAGTCAACATAGAGCTAAAAAGAGTGTTAGTTTAGCTATATCCAGCTCAACGACAACTGTAAACCATGATTTGTGGGTAGTTGACAGTGGAGCATCACAGTCTATAACTAGGAGTAAAGAGAGGTTTGTTAACATGAGCAAGAGTAAACAACATGTATCATTAGCCAATGGATGGAAAATGAAAGCATCTGGAGAAGGTACTGCATACTGTTCGTGTATAAATGAGCATTTACCTATGTTGTATGTACCTAAACTAAAATTTAACTTGCTTTCTGTAAAAAGCATTGTTAAAAGCTGGGTTTGTAGTAACTTTTAGGGGAGATAAATGTCTGATAGAAAAGGATGGTACAAGTGTTACTGCAAAGTTAGAAAACGATTTGTTTGTTCTGAATGATGATCCATTAATCATGGCTAATGCTAACTCAGTTTACGATAACACGAAGCCACATGATGAATGCATTCACTTGCTTCATAGGCATTTGGGACATGTAAATTTTAAGATGTTAAAGAAAACGGTGGAATTATCTGATGGGATAAAACTAAAACCTTGTAAAAAAATATTTAAACTACAATGCTTATAGCCAAGAAAAGAGTAAGGTAACCCCTGCAAACAGAGTTAATGGGTTTACAACCAATGAACCTTTGGAGGTAGTGTTTGCAGATATCATTGGACCTAAAAAACCTAGTTTAAGTGGAGCCTGTTATATATTGAGCATAATAGACCATTTTTCCCATTATGATTTCTGTTACCTTATGAAAACCAAAGCAGAAACATTCCAGCATTTTTCAAACTGGCTGAAGGTTGCTGAGAGGAAAAAGAAACACGAGGTTCTTTGCCTAGTAACTGACAATGGTACTGAGTTTACCAATAAAAGGTCTGAAACTATGTTACAGAAAGCTGGCATTGAACACAAGCCTTCCACCCCTTATAGACCACAACGTAATGGGTATATTGAATGCAGAAGGCAAACGTTGCAGGTTATGGCTCGAACCATGATATCTGATTCTGGTTTGCCTGAGTCACTTTGGGGTGAGGCAATAATGTGTGCTAACCATGTCTTGAATAATGTAGTCAAGTCAACAACTGGTGAACTACCATTCACACGTTGGCATGGTAGAAGACCAGAATTAAGTTATTTGCACACATTTGGAGCCCCAGCATGGGTTCATATTCCCTCGCAATTGAGGCGAAAGGGTCAACATAGAGCAAAGAAGCTGTTTTTTTGTTGGTTATGAATCCAACCACAGGTCATATACATAGATTTTGGGTGCCAGGTACCACTAGCGTGTTCTGTAGTGCTAGTGCCAAGTTCCTGGAGCATGTTGGTTAGAGTAAGCTTGAACAGGAATCCGACAAGGTAAATGGTAGTGTTGTTGTTGATAATCGCATATTTAGTGATACTCTTGATGATGAGAAAGTTGAGGAAGAACCTTCTATTACTGTAAAGGAGGGGGAGGTTATAGGGGAGGTAGAAGAGGAGATACCAACATCGAGTCCTGAGCTACCTAGAAGTTCAACTCGAGATAGACATCCACCTGATAGGTATCAAGCCAGTGTAGTATGTCAGGTGAACACAGAGCCTTCTAACTTTGATGAAATTAAACTGTATCCTCCAAAGGATCAGGTAGCTTGGAAGAAAGCGATGGATAAAGAGCTGAAATTATTCAAGGAGTTAGATGTTTACAAGAATGTTAGGCTACCACCAGGTGAACATGCAATTGGTTGCTAGAGGGTTTACAAACTGAAAACTGGTGTGGATGGGACTGTTACCCATAAGGCAAGGTTAGTTGCTCAAGGATTTGCTCAGTCAGATAAGGACTATGATGAAATGTTTGCACCTAATCAGAGGGCGACTACGTTGCGAGCATCATTAGTATGGGCTAGGAAGAATAGATATATGATAAACCATATAGATGTTGAAACTATATATCTGCATGTGCCATTACAACATACAATCTATAAGAAGAAGTCACTAGGTTTGAAAACTGATGGGAAGACTGATTGCTGGAGACTGAAGAAAAGTCTTTATGGCTTGAAACAGTCAGGTTATGAGTAGAATAAATGCATTGTCAATGAGTTAGTTACTATGGGTTTTGTAGCTGGCATAGCTGATCCAAGTTTGTATAAGAGAGAGAAAGATGGTTTAGTTTCACTATTATTGCTATTCACTGATGATATAGCAATTATTACCAAATCTGAACATGAAGCAACCGAAATTGTTTCTGTATTGCAAAAGAAATTCAGAATTAGGAATTTGGTTGAAATTAAGCATTATCTGGGTCTTGACATAGTTAAAACTAGTAAAGGTTACAAAATTTCGCAAGCCAAGAAAGCTAGTCAATTGCTGAAATGTTACAACATGGAACTCTGTAAGCCTGCTAAGACACCAATGAGTCAGGATTTTAAGCATAGTAATATTCAAAGTCCTGTATTCGATAAGGAAATATATCAATCCTTAATAGGCAGTCTGTCATATCTGAGTAATTGGTCTAGGCTAGATATATCTTACAGTGTAAATCAACTGGCTAGATATAACGCTGAACCTACTGAAAGGCACTGGAAAGCCTCTAAGCGAATACTTAGGTATCTGAAGCAAACAATACATTATTTGTTATATTTGGACCCTAGTAATGACCTAGTTTTAATGGCATACGCTGATGCAAGGATCCTGTTCAGTACATTTAAAAAGAAAGAACATCACATCTTTTCCACTTTGTAAAACCTTTATTTTTTGTAATGTTTTGTAATATACAGCAAAGAGGTGATTTTAGAGTCGTTTTTGATGATCAGGCAACTCAGCTGGGATAGTTAGAGACTTTTAAAGTATTTTTTCTTCAACATCGTCAGTTGAAGAGATTGTAAAAAATGCTTTTAAAAGTCTCTGACAATCCCAGCTGAATTGCCTGATTGTCAGAGGCTTTTTTTTCTTTTAAAAGCCTCTGACGACCCCAGCTGAGCTGTGCGATCATCAGAAGCTTTTTTTTTTCAATTAAAGGCATTTTTTCAGCCGAAGAGGTTGTAGAAAAAAAATGCTTTTAAAAATGAAAAAAAAGCTTCTGACGTTAAGGCAACTCACCTGGGATTATCATAGGCTTTTAAAAGCATTTTTTTTAGCCGAAGAAGTTGTAGAAAAAATGGTTTTAAAAGTAAAAAAAAAAAGTTGGCCATGCCCACTCAGTCACATTACCCCCACCAAGCCATGCCCACAGAACCAGTAGTAACAAATTTTACATTTCACCACTGCTGAGAACCTTTATACTTTGAAGTGTCTTTGTCTCTGATTGCGCGGCTTAGCTGGACATGGGGCAGGGGGGCCCAGGAATTTTTGCTACCGGTTCTCCGAACCATCCGCCAACATTGCTACTGGATCGGACACTCCGGTCCAAACCGGGAGCATTTCACCCCTGGTTCTCGATGTCTAACATGAATAATGAAGGGCAAGTATAAAGGAAAAAAAGTCTATCCCCATAACATACTCCATATTTACCCCATGATACAGTTGGCCAATTATCAATTTCCAAACCCTTTGTCTCAAATATCACCCCCAAGTTGATATTTCTAAGGCAAATGAAATTTCACTATCGCATGAGCAATTTTAAAATCACTTCCAATTTGTGATTAATATATGGAGATCTAATAGAAAAGTAAATTACAAAACGATCCTATTGGTAACATTAGGCAGGGTTCACGGTTACAGATTTCTTCCTTAACATTAGAAGACAGGCAGTATTAGAATTAAGCATCATCAACCTAAGTGTCAGGGTTCCAAGTAAAACTCCCAACGAAAGAAGACTCCGAAGCTTGAATTTCCTAAAAGTTCCATTTTATTAGAGATGTCATATTGGCACATCTGAGAAAACCCGAATCAAAAAGTTTCCAGGTTTTTCCCACCCAAAAGAAAGTTGAAGTCCCTGCCCAGCACCCATCTTTCCATCACATGATCCAATCAGGTACCATCCAAAACTGGAGATGCCTCCCAGTCACCTCATTGCAGCTGCAGGGCAAGGTGGCCTTGACTCTCTGAGAAAAGAATGTTATTTTGATTACATATCACACTTACTCTATGCCAGGAGTCCCCAAATCACCTCTACTCTATGCAATCCCCCCTCCCATTTTCCCACAGTAGAAAATGTGGCAAGTCTGAAGGCCCAAATGTAAAAGATGGCTTCCATGTCTGACACTAAGGTGGAACCAAACTCTATAGTTCTGGGTGACCTTCACCAGGAGTCTCTGGAGACAAGAGAGTACATTGAAGGAAAACACCCAATTTCCTGGGTGTCGAACTATCTTTCTTCAGCATCACTTTCTAGACATGTTCAGAAAGGAAGGACCACAACCACATCAAACCAGTGCTCTCTAGGGGTATATCTATGATTTTTCACTACGCTTTTCTCCAGCTTCTCCTCCGCACAAGGAGGCCCAGAAGTAGTTCAGGATTCCCAGAGGAGATGTTGCTCTGTGAGATCACTCTTGATATTTCTCCAGTGATCGCCTTTGATGTAAACATCAAACTGAAGCTACTTGAAAGAGATCTTGCATCAGAAAAGGATAAATGACTCAGGTCACACTTCGGGTGGCACAAATTTTGGGACATTCAGGGACTGTGCTTCTTGAATGTATCGTTCCTTTCTCTCCTTTCCAGGTGAAGTTCTGTTAATATCTCTCTCATTCAAGAAAGTCACTCTCATTTCCATTTTTGAATGGTGCTTTGAATTCTTCGAATGCTCTTGTTCTTCTTTAGAAACAGGAAGGGGATTGATTCAGCCCCATGAATTATGGACCTCCTCCTTCTGCTTCTGCTGCTGCTGCTGATGTCCCAGCCAGTTTCTGGGAAGCTGAGAATGAAGTGCCTGCTGAGTTTGGAGGAACATGAGGGAAGAAAACTACAGAGCTATTACAGGCCAGGAGACCACCTCATTGGTATAGTCACCATTGCCACAATAATATCCCAAATAACGCTGTCTTTCAACACAGCTCTTTATACTCAAGCGCCCTCGTAAGTCATTCAGTGTGATGGAATTGCATTCCTTCCATTTGCAGTCCTAACACTCTTCTTTTTTTTCAGTTACTCCTATATTGCAGGACCTGTTTAATTTCTTGAATCATTTAGATTTCCATAGCTTCTCTCCTATGTCTTATTTTAAGAGACCAAAATCCAAAGATGGAACAACACCGACCACCAAAGTCCAAATTATTTTCCCTTCTTGTAGAATCCTGAGTTAATCACAACTAGCTTATTGAAAAGTTTGTAGTTGCCTCTGCCCCACCCATTTCCCTATTTTTATAACCATTCATTGATATTCAATGTGTGACCCTGGTATGGAATAGAGGATGGCTTATTTTTAGAATTGCTTTTCTGGATCATTTATTAGTCCTCTTTGATGATGATTCTATTTTAATGATTGAATGATTTTGAATCTTGGTCGTTTCACAAATTAAAAATGAGCACTATCACAAATAATGATATATTTTAAATATTAAATCTCCATCCCACCTTCCCAACACTCATAACAATTAAATGGTGATGGGTGACAATAACTTTATTCTTATATTGGACACTTTTGTCTTAAGACTGAATGGGTTTGTGGAGAGAAAGAGGAACAAACTAGAATATATTTTGTTGTTTTTGTTCTTAGAGATGATATTATCATGAACATTTTTTACAGTAGTTCATTTACTGATCCAGCAATAATCCTAAACTTCATTTTTGCCATTCAACAAGTCAATAAGAAATCTCAGCTTTTGTACAATCTCACACTTGGCTACAACATCCATGACAACTATTTTAACACCCTTGGCACTTCAGATGCCTTACTGGACATGCTCTCAACTGGAGAAGCCAATGTTCCCAACTACAGCTGTGGAAGGAAGGACAACTTGGTGGCTGTTCTTGATGGATGTCTTGATGACATCTCCATTCAGATGTCAACATTAGTAGGCACCTACAAAGTCCCACAGGTTTGTTTTTTTGTTTCTCTATCTGGCACAGTGAGCAGGTTGTTGGTGGGTGGGTATTAGATTCAATCACACCTTTTCTATGGAAATCATGAACTGCTTTTCTCATGGCCATTGTCATGGCTAGGGATTGGGATCCAGAGTGTGGGGGAGGCCTAAATATTTACTCAAGCAAGACTTGAACAGCTGGACACAATGTCAAATATGGAACATTTAAGCAAATCTCTAAAATGAATTGATTTGCACTTGTAGTGCTCTAAAGATAGAAGACATGGCACATCTCTTATATGAATGTCAATTTTATTAGAAACAGAAAGAGCAGTATCTTAGACTCCAGATTATACAAATGATTATATTCAATCTTGTTAATATTTTGCATTTTGTATTCTTTATCTTGATATGGCTTAAGAGTTAGGAACATTAGACTGTTCCAGGGGTATCCAACCTTTCGGACCTCAGGGACCACCAAATCCATAATTTTAAATCCCGTGGACCACTAATATGAAATTTTTAAAAAGATAGTATTTAGTGCAATATAAAAAATGCAAATAATTTTCCTGCAGAACACCAAAATTTTGTCGCAGACCACCAGTGGTCCTTGGACCACCAGTTGGTGACCAGTGGGGTACTCTAATATGTTCGTGAGAACCACCCTGGATATGTTAAAAGCTTACATTTTGGACTTGATCTGATCTAACCATAATACACCATTCTTCATTGCTTCTTCAGATCAGTTATGGAATTGTTTCAGAGGCTTTGAGTGATAAAAGTCAAATGCCTTTTTTCCATCAGATGCTTCCAAAAAATGGGATCCAGTATCCAGGAATTGTCCAACTCCTCCTTCATTTCAGATGGACTTTGATAGGTCTCTTTCCACCAGACACAGAGGAGGGAGAGAATTTCATGAGAACTTTCACTCCTATGCTTGTCAGAAATGGAATTTGTGTAGTTATCTCACAACAATTCTCAATGACTAGAGCTACAGAACCTCTCAGAAATGCCATCTCTAAGTGGAGAAAAGTCAATGTCTTTGTTCACTTCATAGAATTTGCTTCCATTGTGGAAAGAGTTCTCCACATCCAGTTAATAATTGAAGGTTTGTCAGGACCGATTGAAGGGAAAGTCTGGATCACCACAATTGTGGGGAAAGTGTCAATGTCAAGGCGTACAGATTTCAAATATATCCATAGCATTTGGGTCTTTGCTTTTCAGGAAAGAAAATGGCCAAATGATGAAGCCTTTCAACCCAATCTTTTTAAGGATTCCAAATTTGAAGACCAGTCTTTTCACTGTTCTTTTTCAAAGCATGTCCTTTCCGTCAAGGGCCGGAGACGATGCACCCAGATAGCACCACTGGACATGCAAGAGAAAAAGAATAGAATTCAGATAAAAAATGACCACCGTTTTTATACTGTTGCTAAGACTCTGGCCCATGTGTTAAATGTTGCATATTCCTCAATATCTTGGAGGAGAAAAACAGAGAAGAAAGAGAGATTGGGGGCTGCAAGGCTAGAGCCATGGCAGGTATGGAGTCCTGACAAGGATCCATCAATCCTATTTCTTATTTAAAAAAAAATCCAAACTGGTATAGGAGAACCATTGTTCTACAAAAACCCAACAGGTTTGGCCAAGCGGAGGCCAGATTTAGTTCACAGGATTATGTTCCAAAGAGCAGGCACTGAGACAATTATGTTTTGATATTAAACATTGCTATTATAAAATCATTTAAAATGTATACATTGTAAATAAATTCCTGTACTTATGTGTTTGTAGTTAGCATGATAGAATTTTATATACATAAATTGCAGCTAAACCTGGGAGAATTTCGCCTAACCCCTCCTCACTGCAGGAATCCAGTTAAAGCCTTTCAGACTGATGGATACTCAGTCTTTGCACTGACCCTAACCGTAACCCTAACCCTAACTCACTGCTCACTTCCAGGAGTTTGATCCTGACCAGCTCAAGGTTGACTCAGCCTTCCTTCCTATCAATGTTGTAAAACCTAGATTTTGGGGGGCAATATACTGATTCTATAAACCACTTAGAGAGGGCTGTAAAAGCAGTGTGAAGTGGTATATAAGTCTAAGTGTTATTGCTATTCAGGCAAATAGTGAAGAGGGGACTCAACATCTCTTATTCACTAGCTCAGCTTTAAAATTGCTCCCCCTTTTAGGATGTTTCAAGTTGCTTTCAAAATTCCTGGATGTTTCAATTCTAGTTCCATCCCTTTCTGGAGAAGAATGAGTTTTGCAATTTTTCCTGGGAGAAACTGTACTTGGACAAAAGTGGAAAATTAGCAGCAGATCTGAATATCATAAGTTGGTTACTTTTTCCCAAGGAGGATCCTATTGAAGAGCAACTGGGGAGTTTGGAAAGACAGAGGCTTATTATCAACCAAGATGCTCTTTCACGGCTAAAGTTGCTCAACAAGGTGGTTGAAAATATTGGTAACTTTTCTTGGTCTATATGGTTGGTGTTAGTGTCCCCTGAAAGAGGAGGCTCAGATATTATTTTTAACAGCCCATATCTGACCACAGTTATTCATGTCTTTGTTTCACCCCACTGGGATAGACCTTCTGCTGATAGGAAGGTGATCCAAGGTGTTTAATGAAAATGGAACCACAATGACTTGTCCAATTTGAGATAATACCTTAATTTAGAAAAATGAAAGACTTAAATTTGCCTTGACTGCCCACCTCCCAAGTCCTTCTTGATATTTGTAATAATGAGGGTCAATTTGTAATATAATGCTACTTATATTTGGTCTTTGGCTTGTAAGCCATCTAAAAACCCTTTGAATGCAATTTTTTATCTTGATTGTCTTACATTAAAACAAAGAATTATCCAAGAGTTGGACACAACTAGCAATTAACAACAAAACTGTAATTCTTCAATGGAAAGGGCCTTGTCTTGAATACCTCACTTGGCCTTAGAAATATCCCTTTCCCACACAGGGCTCATACTCATGTCCCATGTGCTGCAGCAAAAGATGCCTGACTTAACCTTTTTGAGTGACATGTTCTCATGATTTCATCTCTACTCGTCCTCACTATAATTCTAGAAACTAGGCAGTAATGTTTAGTCTTATTTCACCAGCATGGCAGATGTGTGAATTGAAAATATAAATGTACAGATATAACTCAATAATACCTCATTTGAATTTGGCAGCCGTAGTTTGTGAGGAATTTTTTCTTTATATCTTAAGTGGAACAAGAATTTGGATTATTTTCAAAGGGGAGGGGCTTTACAATATTTTATGTTTTTCTGATCTATTGCTCACAAGTGTCTTTCTTAAGCACAGTTTCATTTTAATCAGTCAATCTAAGAAATAAAAAATTATTTATTTATTTATTATTTATTTATTTGTTCAACTTGGATGCTGCCTTTCTTCGAAGACTCAAGGCGGCTTACAATGCATTTAAAAACCATATATAAAAACATTAAAAATTAAAACATTAAAACAATTAAAACCCATTCACACCATTCATGGAGGGATCTCACCAGATCGCAACAGCGAGATCAACGGCCTAGGCCTAGTGGAAAAGCCAGGTCTTCACTGCTTTTTGGAAGGCCAATAGGGTGGGAATGGTCTGGATCTCAGGAGGTAACTGGTTCCAGAGAGCTGGGGCACCCACAGAGAAGGCCCTCCCCTGCGGGCCCACCAGCCGGCATTGTTTAGCTGATGGGATCCGGAGGAGGCCAACTCTGTGGGATCTTACTGGTCACTGGGAGCTATGCGGTAGAAGGTGGATTTGGCAGATATTTTGGAATGAATTTTGTTTTTGTGCTTAGTCTCTGCCTCAGTCCAAATGTGTGGAGAAATGTCACCCTGGATTTGTAAAACGGGCTCGGAAAGAAGAACCAATTTGCTGCTACGATTGTATTCCTTGTCCGGAGGGGACCATCTCCACACAGGAAGGTGGGTGACACCAGAGAAACTCTGGCTTTCCTGTCTCCCAGTATGTTGTAATCCAAAATTGTAATCCAAAGAAGGTCTTTCTTGGAATGTGAAAGGAGAGACTGTAGAAATAATATTACTTAATGTTTTCTCAGATACTGAAAAATGCACCAAGTGCCCAGATGACAAATATCCCACTGATGACAGAATCCAATGTATCCCCAAAAGAATAACCTTCCTGTCCTATGAAGAACTTCTGGGCATCATCCTGGTCTCCTTTGCTGTACTCTTGTTTCTAACAACAGGCTTTGTTTTAGTCATATTCCTTAAATACTTAGAAACTCCCATTGTCAAAGCTAACAACCGGGACCTGTCCTACATCCTCCTGGTTTCCCTCTTGCTTTGCTTCTTGTCCTCCTTTTTCTTCATTGGCCGACCAAGGAAAGCCACCTGCCTTCTCCGACAAACAATATTCAGTATCATCTTCTCAGTAGCTGTATCTTGTGTGTTAGCCAAAACAATCATGGTAGTGCTGGCCTTCCTGGCCACAAAACCAGGGAACAGGGTGAGGAGATGGTTGGGGAAGAGCTTGGCCAACTCCATCATCCTTTCTGGTTCTGCTGGAAAAATTGTCATTTGTGCAATCTGGCTGGGAGTTTCTCCTCCATTTCCTGATTTTGACCTGCACTCCCAATCGGGAGTGATCATCCTTCAGTGCAATGAAGGCTCTGTGACCATGTTTTATGTGGTTCTCTGCTACATGGGTTTCCTTGCTGCCATTTGCTTCACAGTGGCTTTCCTGGCCAGGAACCTGCCTGGGGCGTTCAACGAAGCCAAACTGATCACCTTCAGCATGCTGGTCTTCTGCAGCGTCTGGATCTCCTTCCTGCCCACCTACCTGAGCACCAAAGGGAAATACATGGTGGCCGTGCAGGTTTTCTCCATCTTGGCTTCTGGGGCTGGCCTGCTGGGCTGCATCTTCTTCCCCAAGTGCTACATTATCATCCTGAGACCAGATCTAAATACTAAGGAACATTTAATGATAAAAGTCAGTATCTGATCCTGAAGTAGTTTTTTAAGCTCTTAACACTTAATTATTTATTGCAGTTATTATTGAGTTTGTTGCTTGTTTTGACAAGGTTATTTAAAATCAAAAGAAATAAACATACAAAGAATGTAAGACTAATTTAAGATAATTATCAAAGTGTAAATTAAATTAATTAATAATATAAATTGTGATGAAACTAGTGAAGGACAAGATAAGAAATGATATACTTATGTTAACATAATGTACCTTCAGAGGAGACAAGACTTCCCAGATTGGGGTGAGGGTGAGGGATACAACATCATCTATCTCCAGTCCTCAACACAGTCCTCTCAGCAGTTCCAAGAAGGCTCCACACCCATTTGCACTACTAAGGTGATCCTGAGAACACAGATCAACTTCCAAGTGGCCTCAATGACTCTCTAAAACAGGGGTGTCAAACTTGTGGCCTGCGGGCCGGATGCGTTAAGTGTTGGCCCTGCGCCCACCTGGTTTAGTGAAGGGGAAAAAAGTCCCAATATGTTACGTTTTGCCACCGAGTTTGACACTCCTGCTCTAAAAGGATGCAAATGACCAGATGTCTGCAAGGAGTATAAATCCTTCCATTCCCCACCCTCCAGTTAGAGCTGAAGAAGCTTCTTGGATGAAAAGTGAAATGTCTTCAAAGAAAAGCAAAACAGTCCAATTACCTCTTGAAAAAAGCACCTCTGGGACATCACCTTACTACATATCTACACTTCAACTGTAGTCTCAAACGATGACGAAATTGAACAAAACAAAACAAAATAAAGGGTGAGTAGAGAGGCCTTCATTGCAAGGGGTTGAACTTCCATTTCACTGGGGACAGAACTTTACCTCAAATTTTGGATATTATGGGCATCAAATAAAATACCATATTTTGTTTCTTAAGCTTTAAGTCCTGATTCTGTAGATAGCTTCCGATCCCAATGATGGAGCATCACAATGGAGATGGTTGATGAACTAAGAGGCAATCCCAGCCCCCACATATCCAGCTCCTTCCCTCCCTATTTTTTAAGTATAATTCTATTTTGATTGTAGTTTCCATTTTAATTATTTTATTTTTCTTTTATGATTTTAATGGTATAAGTTTCCCAGAGTTATTTTGAAACAAGATGGGTGGCAAATAAGCTGAATGAATGAACAAACAAACAAACAAACAAGCAAACAAGCAAACAAACCAATGTTTGAAACAAGTTTACCAGTCAGTGGGTGGGATCCTCTTCAGTCCATTTAAAAAGATAGAACACCACATCTTTCCAACTTTATAAAATCTTTATTTTTTGCAATCTTTTGTAATATGCAGCAAAGAGGTGATTTTAGAGTCGTTTTTGGAAAACGTTTCCCAGCTGAAACTGGGGAAAGTCTAAAACTCTTTTGGCCAGGTGTTCAGAGCCATTAATGAACCCAGTTCCTGATGTGCTAGGAATGAGCTCATCCTCCCTTGAGCTGACTTCTTTTTTTTTTTTGGTAAAGTTTTTTTTTAGTTTTTAAACACACAAACAAACATACAATACATTTTTTCTGAACAGAATATTGGCCCGGTCTTAAATTTGTACAGATTTTTGTTCATCTTTAACACAATTTTATATGTCCAATTTTTCTCATAGCTTTTATTCTCTCTAATTTTAAGAAACCAATATTACCCTTCATCATAACGTCTCATCCTATTATAGTTCAAATTTTATTTTCTTTCCTTAAAATTTGAACCCCTAAATTTATATCCATATAACATTGTACAATCCCCAATTATTTCCTTAAATTCTCTTATTCTAATCACCAATGATTCTTTTATCAGCTATTCCAAATAATACAATTCAACATATTAGTAGAAACCAGGGAGCCCTGACCCCTAGGGAGCGGGCCTTCTCTGTGGGTGCACCTACCTTGTGGAATCAGCTCTTCCTGGAGCTCCAGGTGGCCCCTAACCTTCGCTCTTTCCGCCGTGACCTTAAAACATGGTTATTTCGCCTGGCTGGTTTGGACTGAAGGGGTTTTAAATGGGATTTTAATAGTCTTTTTATAATCTTATTGGGTATTTTTAACATTGATTTTGCTTGTTTTTATTGTTGTGAGCCGCCCTGAGTCCTTTCGGAGATAGGGCGGCATACAAGTTTAAATAATAAATAAAACAAATAAATAAATAATAAAAAATCAATTAAGTATCAATCTTACTCCAGTACCCCTAAATTTAAACTCATACAACATAATACAATTCCTAATTTTTTCTTAGAATCTCTTGTTCCAGTCTCAAATAATTTTTTCTTTATCAGCTGTTCCAAATAATACACTTCAACATTTTTATAAAAACCAGTTAATTATATCTAATTAATTCATAATCCAATATCATTTCAGCTGTCTTTTCTTATTTAGTTAAATTCCAAATATAGAATATTAAGAATATTACAGTTATTACAGTCCCCTTCATTAATTAAAAAAATATTCCAATTATTACATTCATCATACATCCATATAGTTTAAAATCACTTCATTAAAAATACAATTTCATCTTTTCTCTAGTATTCATTTCATTTACCCCATGTTCCTCTTCCATTTCTTTCTCCCTTTCTCCCTTTATATTTTATTTTCTTTTTCTTTCCCCTTCTTTTCTTTTATATTTTAAAATCCTGAACTCTCTTTTCCCTTTTTCTTATCTTTCCACTGTTAGTCCCAGGATAATCATTTTGTTTTTTAAGATCATAAACTCTTCTATTTTGCTGTGTCTTTCCCATTTTTTCCATCCCTTTACCCCTTTTCTTATGTTCTCACTGATAATCCCAGTGTAATCATTTAATTTTTTTTATATTCTTTCTATTCCACCCTCTTTTCTTTCTTTGTTTCTTTCCCCTTTTTCTATTTCTTCCCTTGTTAATCCCAATGTAATTTTTAAAGCTCTCCTTTTTATTATTACTACCCACATAATCATTTAATTTTCCATAATCAATCTCCTTGTCTTTGTCTTCTTCTTTGTTGTCAATGTCTTTTTCTTGCTTCTCATTAGTTATTTCTTTGTCAGCTTGAATATAAGTCAATTTTTTGGTCATCAAGTTTCAATTTTCCATGTAACATTGTGGTCATTTCCCTTATTTCCATTTTCAATGATAAGTACATCATTTTCATCATTTCCTTAAGTTCCTGCACCATTTTGTTATTCCTAGATTGATATTATTCCAATTGAAGTTATGTTGTAATCCTCTTTTTTCCCCCTCACAGATGGCTCTCTACAATCCACTATTACAATCAACAAGCTTGAAAAGTATCCATTTTGTTTGCAGTCCGCTTTAAACAGTTTTTACTTATTTAATTTTTCTTCTTCTTCTTTTTCACCTTTATATGCACAAAATAAATTTAAAATTCAGTCCAGATTTGCATACTCCAAATTCCACGTTACATTCCAATTTAGTTTCAATTTAGAGTCATTAACCGGTCCTTTCTATTACAGGTTTTTCTTCATTCTTTAATCTTCCTCCCTTTAAAGTTCTCAAATTAAAGAAGAATCTTTTCAGGTTCTTAATTCTTCTAATTTTTTTTTAAAGTTCTCCAAATACGTAAATTGAAAAAAAAAAAAATTCTGATCGGGTTTTGTCACTTTATAACTTCCACCTTAATCTTCTTCTTCCGTCCTTTACCACGCTTATTAGCCGCTGTTATAGTGCCAGGATATTTACAATTATTTTGAAAATCCTCTTTTTTTTTCTTTCTCCCTATGAGTTAGATGTCACTCACCCAGCATCAATATTCCGCTCAATTCTCCACTCCTGCACAGTGCTTGGTCCTGTTACCCCAGCTTACTGGCGGTCTTAATGGAGACCGCCCCTCACTGCAGAGTCAGAGAGAATTTCCTCTGACCTCCAAAGAACTTGTCTGTTCCACTTGGTCTTCTGAGGTGCCTCTCTTTCTTCCCTGTCCCTACAGGAGAGATCCAGTCCAAAGACCCCTCTGCAGCGGTTCGTCAGCCCGAGATTTCGCAGGGCTCATCAGAGCCCACTAATTCCTGACTGTCTCACCACGACATGCCCGGTCAAATCTCCCTTGAGCTGACCTCTGAGGAGGAATCCAAGGGGGACATCATACTGCCTGCTGTTTGTTTAGTAAACAGATACTTCAAAGTATAAAGGTTCTCGTTGTCTTACATGAATACTGAAGGGCAAGTAGAAAGAAAAAAAAAGTCTATCCCCATAATATATTCCATATTTACCCAATGATACAGTTGGCCAATTATCTATTTCCAGACTCTTTGTCTCAAAGATCACCCCAAAGTTGATATTTCTAAGGCAAATGAAATTTCACTATCGCATGAGCAATTTTAAAATCACTTCCAATTTGTGATTAATATATGGAGATCTAATAGAAAAGTAAATTACAAACACGTCCTATTCTTAACAGTAGGCAGGGTTCACAGTTACAGATTGATTGATTGATTTTTAAATTTGTATACCGCCCTTCTCCCTGAGGACTCAGGGCGGTGAACAGCCAAGTAAAAAAATAAACTACAAACATTAAAATACAATTAAAAAGATATATATAAATTTGGCCCCATGATTAAAAACAATAACAGACAATTAAAAACATTTTAAAAAGTGTTAGGCCAGCCCGGCTTGCTGGAAAAAGAAGGTTTTAAGGGGACAGCAGAAGACACCGAGGTCTTGGATTCTCCTTATCTCTGGGGGCAGAGATTCCAGAGGTAGGTGCCCCCACAGAGAAGGCCCTCCCCCTGGAGGTCACCAGCCTACATTATTTGGCTGATGGCACCCCGAGGAGGCCCTCTCTGTGGGAGTGCACAGGTTGATGGGAGGCCGTCGGTAGCAGCAGGCGGTCTCGAAGATAACTAGGTCCTATGCCATGGAGTGCTTTAAAGGTGATAACCAACACCTTGAAGAGCACCCGGAAGACCACTGGGAGCCAGTGCAGCTCACGCAGGAGAGGTGTTGTATGGGAGCGCCATGCGGCTCCCGTGACTACCCGTGCGGCCGCATTCTGGACCAGTTGGAGCCTCCGGGTGCTCTTCAAGGGGAGCCCCATGTAGAGAGCATTGCAGTAGTCCAGGCGAGAGGTGATGAGGGCGTGAGTGACTGTGCACAGGGAATCCCGATCAAGAAAGGGCCGCAACTGGTGAATCAGGCGAACCTGACAGAAGGTCTCCCTGGCTACAGCCGTCAGATGTTCCTCCAAGGACAGCTGCATATCCAGGAGGACTCCCAGATTGCGCGCCCTCTCCGCGGGGGCCAAAGACTCGCCCCTGATAGTCAGTGATGGAGTCAACTGACTATATCAGGATGCCAGGAACCACAGCCACTCAGTCTCGGAAGGGTTGAGCTTGAGCCTGTTCCTCCCCATCCAGATCTGCACAGCCTCCAGGCACTGGGACATCACTTCAAGGGCATCGTTGGGGTGGCCTGGGGTGGAGATGTACAGCTGGGTGTCATCAGCGTACTGATGGTACTTCACCCCAAAGCCATGGATGATCTCTCCCAGCGGCTTCACATAAATGTTGAACAGAAGGGGCGAGAGGACCGACCCCTGAGGCACTCCACATATAAGAGGCCTCGAGGTCGACCTCTGCCCCCCTGCCAACATGAACTGTGACTGGTCTGAGAGAAAGGAGGAGAACCACCATAACATGGTGCTCCCGATCCCCAACTCTTCCAACCTGTGCAACATGATACCATGGTTGATGGTATCAAAAGCCGCTGAGAGGTCTAACAGGGCCAGAACAGAGGAGCAACCCCTGTCCCGAGCCCTCTAGAGATCATCTACCAATGCGACCAATGCCGTTTCCGTGCTGTGCCCGGGCCTGAAACCCGACTGGAACAGATCTAGATTTCTTCCTTAACATTAGAAGACAGGCAGTATTAGAATTAAGGATCATCAACCTAAATGTCAGTGTTCCAAGTAACACCTCCAATGAAAGAAGACTCCAAAGCTTGAATTTCCTCAAAGTTCCATTTTATTAGAGATGTCATATTGGCACATCTGGGAAAACCCAAATCAAAAAGTTTCCAGGTTTTCCCCACCCAAAAGGAAATTCAAGTCCCTGCCCATCACCCACATTTCAATCACATGATCCAATCAGGCACTATTCAAAACTGGAGATGCCTCCCAGTCACCTCATTGCAGCTGCAGGGCAAGGTGGCCTTGATTCTAAGAGAAAAGAATGTTATTTTGACTACATATCACCCATACTCTATGCAATCCCCCTCCCATTTTCCCACAGTAGAAAATGTGGTGGGCCTGAAGGCCCAAATGTAAAAGACGGCTTCCAGGTCTGACACTAAGATGGAACCAAACTCTATAGTTCTGGGTGACCTTCCCCAGGAGTCTCTCGAGACAAGAGAGTACATTGAAGGACAACACCCAATTTCCTGGGTGTCAACTTTCTTTCTTCAGCATCTAGACATGTTCAGAAAGGAAGGACCACAACCTCTTCAGATAGTGCCCTCTAGGGGTATATCTATGATTATTCAATATGCTTTTCTCCAACTTCTCCAGAAGCCCAGAAGTAGTTAAGGATTCCCAGAGGAGATATTGCTTCATATGGTATTATTAAAATCCTGGTCTGTGAAATCTCTCCTGATATTCCTCCAGTGATCGCCTTTGATGTAAACATCAGACTGAAGCAACTTGAAAGGGATCTGAGAAAAGGATAAATGTCTCAGGTCACACTCTGTGTGGCACAAATTTTGGGACATTCAGGTATTGCACTTATTGAATGTACCTTTCCTTTCTCTCTTTTCCAGGTGAAGTTCTGTTTATTTCTCTCTCAGTCAAGAAAGTCACCCTCATTTCCATCTTTGAATGGTGCTTTCAATTCTTCAAACTCTCTTCTTCTTCCTTAGAAATAGGAAGGGGATTGATTCAGCCCCCTGAATTATGGACCTCCTCCTTCTGCTTCTGTTCCTGTTGATGTCCCAGCCAGTCTCTGGGAAGCTGAGAATGAAGTGCCTGCTGAGTTTGGAGGAACATGAGGGAAGAAAACTACGGAGCTATTACAGGCCAGGAGACCACCTCATTGGTATAGTCACCATTGCCACAATAATATCCCATATAACGCTGTCTTTCAACACAGCTCCTTATACTCCCTCGTAAGTCATTCAGTGTGATGGAGTTGCATTCCTTCCATTTGTAGTCCTCACACTCTTCTTCTTTTCTTTCAGTTACTCCTATATTGCAGGACCTGCTTAATTTCTTGAATCATTTGGATTTCCATGGATTCTCTCTTATGTCTTATTTTAAGAGACCCAAATCCAAAGTCGGGGCAAACCCACTCACCAAAGTATAAATTATTTTCCCCTCTCGTAAAATCCTGAGTTAATCAGAACTAGCTTATTGAAAGATTTGTAGTTGCCTCTGCCCAACCCATTTCCCTATTTTTATAACCATTCATTAATATACAATGCCTAACCCTGGTATGGAATAGAGGATGGCTTTTTGTTAGAATAGCTTTTCTGGATCATTTATAAGTTCTCTTTGCTGATGATTCTATTTTAATGATTGAATGATTTTGAATCTTGGTCATTGCACTATATATATAATGATATATTTGTGAATATGTTAAATCTCCAGCCCACCTTCTCAACACTCATAAAAATTAGAATAGAATAGAATTCTTTATTGGCCAAGTGTGATTGGACACACAAGGAATTTGTCTTTGGTGTATATACTCTCAGTGTACATAAGGAGAATAAAATACATTCATCAGGAATAAAAAGATACAACACTTAGTGATAGTCAAGGTTTCTAATAAGCTATCAAATCGTACTAGGAAACAAATAAAAACAATATAAATTGAAAGATACAAGCAACATGGTTATAGTAATAAGTGGGAAGAGATAGATACTAGTAAGGAAGTGAAGAATAATAGTAATACAGTCTTAGTAAATTATTTGACAGAATTGTGGGAATTAGTTCTTAAGCAGAGTGATGGCATTTGGGAAAAAAATGTCCTTGTGTCTAGTTGTTCTGGTGTACAGTGCCTTATAGCATCGTTTTGAGGGTAGAAGTTAAACAATTTATCTCCAGGATGTGAGTGGTCTGTAGATACTTTCACAGCCCTCTTTTTGACTGGTGCAGTATACAGATCCTCAATGGAAGGGAGGTTGGTAGCAAGTTTTTTTTTTTCCCTGCAGTTCTAATTATCAGTTGAAGTCTGTGTTTCTCTTGTTTGGTTGCAGAGCCAAACCAGACAGTTATGGAGATGCAGATGAGAGACTCAATAATTCCTCTGTAGAAGTGGATCACCAGCTCTTTGGGCAGTTTGGGCTTTCTGAGTTGTCACAGAAAGAATGATGAAAGAAAAATGGTGATGGGTGACTATAATTTGATTGTTGCTTTGAACTCTTTTAGCTTAAGACTGAATGAGCTTGTGGAGAGAAAGAGGAATAAATGAAAATATATTTTGTTGTTGTTTGAGATGATGTTATCATGAACATTTTTTACAGTAGTTCATCTAATAGGGCAGCAAGAATCCTATGCTTCATTTTTGCCATTCAACAAGTCAATAAGAAATCTCAGCTTTTGTACAATCTCACACTTGGCTACAACATCCATGACAACTATTTTAACACCCTTGGCACTTCAGATGCCTTACTGGACATGCTCTCAACTGGAGAAGCCAATGTTCCCAACTACAGCTGTGGAAGGAAGGACAACTTGGTGGCTGTTCTTGATGGATGTCTTGATGACATCTCCATTCAGATGTCAACATTAGTAGGCACCTACAAAGTCCCACAGGTGTGTTTTTTTGTTTCTCTATCTGGCAAAGTGAGCAGGTTATTGGTGGGTGGGTAATAGATTCAATCCTATCTTTTCTATGGAATTCATGAACTGCTTTTCACCATGGCCTTTGTCATGGCTAGGGATTGAGATCCACAGGATGCCTAAAAGTTTACTCAAGCAAGATTTGAGCAGCTGAACATAATGTTAAATACGGAACATTTAAGCAAATCTCTAAAATGAACTAATTTGAATTTGCAGTGGTCTAGAGATAGAAGACATAGCATGTCTATTATCTGAATGTCAATTTTATTAGAAAAGAGAAAGAG